GGGCTCTTGCCGCCTCTCCTCCTCGGGCTCTGGCATCACAGCTCCCTACCCCGGGCCTTCTGCTCCTCTGACTTTCCTGTCTTGGCCCCTTCCACAGTCTCCTCTTCCTCCCTTAGCACCTCAAATGACCTCCAAATCTATTTCCTTAACTCAGATTTCTCTCCTAAGCACCAAACATGTGGCTGCCTGCTGGCCTTTCTCACCCAGATGCTTTGTGGACATCCAAGAATCAAGAAGACCTAAAGTGAATTACCTCTCCCCGAAAACCCACTCTTCCTCCCATGGGACCTCTTTCTCTCATTCTTTCATTTGCTCATTTGAATGCTTGGAAGTGCCTACAAGGTGCCAAGCAATACTCCAGGCACCAGGAGTACCTAGAACATGACGGACCAAGTCCCAGCCTCATTCTAGCAGAGGAGACAGACCATAAACAAATATTTACACAATGTCCAGTGGTGAAACGTGCTGTGAAGAAAACAAAAATGTGGAAAGGGATTAGAGAATGACAGAGTGTTTTGAGGGGCTGTCTCCTTGAGGAGCAGAGGTGTGATGGATATGCTATGAGCAATGCCTCTGTCTCCCAGGTGTCCAAGACAGGAAGTTGGAGGGTATCCTCAACTTTGCCCTCTGGCTCACCCCACACCTTACTTTCCACCAACTCCTGTCTCTTTCACCTATTCCCTCCCCACTGTACTGGCCTGCCTCAAGGACTCAGCACCTCTCGATGGAGTTTGCACCTGGTTTTGGTCTTTCCCCTCTACGTTAGCCTCATCTGGCTCCCAGAATAATCTTTCCAAGACACAAATCTGTTTCCAAGACACAAATCTGTTACCAAGACACAAGTCTTCTACTTGCTAAAAATCCCTTGCTGGTATCCACTTTCTACAGGCTTAAGTCCCAGATCCTAGGAGAGATGTCCAAGTTCCTTGTATTCTGGGGCCATCTTCCCTTTCCCATCTGTCTCCTGCCATGCCCCTGGTGCACATGCCATGTTCTTCCCACCTTCCTGCCTTTGCACAAGCTGTTTCTCTCACTCAGAACACGTCTCACACCTCCACCCTCAAATTCCTACACGTCCTTCCAGACCCAGTTTAATCATCCTCCTCCATGAAGACTTCCTCAACTGCTCAGCCAGAACCCCCGTCTTCCAGCCGTTCTATGACTGTGCCTCTGCGGTCATATTTACAACACTCTGCTATGAGGACTTCGGTTTCATTTCTTCCATAAGCATTTGTCAAGAGCCCACTGCATGCCTGTCATCATTCTTGGTGCTATAGATACAGCCATGAGTAAGGCCAGACAGGATCTCAGCCCTCACTGGGGTTATGTTCTATTCCAGTACATCTCCTCCACTAGGAGGATTACGTAACAACACGATTATGGTCATTCTGACTGCATCTATGTCTAAAACCTATTCAAGGAAAAAAATTAAAAGTAAATGATCTATATAATCTGACTATACTACGAAAAAATAAAAGTAAAGGATCCAATGTGGTAATAAACAATAAGGCTGTCAGATATTAAATTTTCTTTTGAGAAGGTCTGTTTTATTAGCAATAGTAATTGCTAATACTCATGGGTGGCTTTCAATACTAAGTACTTTAAAATGCTCATTTTACCCTCATAACAACCCTGTGAGGCAGCTACTGTTAAAACGCTTTTTTTTCTGATTAAAAACAACAACAGCTAAGGTTGAGAGAGACAGCGTCACTGGCCAGGATCATGCACGGATTAGGTGGCAGATCTGAGGCCGCACTTTGGTCTGGCTCGTGTCAAAGTCCAGGCTTTTAATTACTACATTATACCTCTGTTTAGTTTTATTTTTCAATTAAAAAAGTATTGTCAAAAAACAAGGCCCGATTAAAATCAAATGGCATTTCCTTTCTGTTGAAAGAAGTCCTGAGACCGTAAGCGGGTTCACTCTAACTCTTAGAAAGCAGTGTGGTGAGAGATGGGAGAGGTGGGGGGAGGCCGGCGCAGGGATGGCAGTGACTTGGGACAGAGGGGAGGGAGGCACAGACACACCTCCACGGCACGTTTCTCTCCGAGCGCCCTGCTCACGTGATTCTCCTTCTTGGCAGCCTCCTGGAGCTCCATGGCCTGCTGCACGTACATTTTCCCAGCTAGGATTTCATTCTCTAGCACTGACAGCTCCTTCAATGAAATGGGCCAATTCAACCGTTCTAACGCCTCGTTTAAAGTTGCCTTGTTTTCCAAGTACCGCATTGGTTTGTTTGCATCTAACCTAAAAAAAAGAAGAAGAGGAAGAAACAGAAAGTGACCCTAATAGAAAAAAATACGGAAAGATGGTTTTTCAGTAAACTCTCCCCTGAGAAACATCTGTCAAAGCAGAAGTTAGGTGTCAGTGAACAGAATCTCAGCCGTGCCCTCTGGTCCATCAGGGCATTGGCAACCCGCACAAGTGAGAAAAAAATCATCTCTGAGTCTAAGTAGGCACTTTTCCCCATTACCTAATTTGGTTGTCTGATTTTATAGAAGTTTGATACATAGCACTATTTTTCAACAATTTTTTTCAGCGTATTTGGAACCCATTCCTTTCTCCTGAGGCCTAACATTTGGCAGAATTTCAAAAGTGAGTTTCAAAGAGATTTCACACAACTATGCCTAGCAGTGATTCTGGAAAACAAAACAAAGTGGGGGAAAAAAAAAACCCTAAACCCAAATGTTTGTCTCAGTGCAATAATTCTTCTACTAGCTCATTTTAGCTATTTTTATCTCCTCTCCTCTTGTAAGCCTAAATAGGCCTAAACTTTCTGGCTTCACTGTTTGGTGCACAAAAAACAGAAGCCAGACTTTCTACCAGCTGATGGACAGACTGTGTGAGTCCAGGGGAAGCCAGTGTAGAGTGGGAGTGGAGGGCCCAAGTTCTGGGTTCTGTTTCCAGTCCCAGCTACTTTTGAGTCAGATACTCCTGGAAGGAGGTACAGAAAGGGTGGGGGGATTGATCAATTGAGAGAGATATGGGAGGAAAAGCATCTCCTAATTATCATTCTGTTATTGCTGAAGGTGACATTTCATTTTTTTAGATATCGTATGTTGGGAGAGCACAGTGTAAATCCAGTACAACCACACAACTCAATCCACAAACAAACTTTTCTCCAGAAGACAGCAAAAATCCTTATTAAAAATCTAAATTGGAGTGACATCAGCAAGATGGTAAAACAAGAAACCCCAGGCCCTCGTTCTCCTACAGAGACACCGACTTAGCAACAGTACATGGACCAAATTGCCTTTGTGAGAATTCCGGAAGCCAGTTAAGAGGTCACAGCCCTCCAGGAGCACAAAGCCAAGAAGAGCAGGCGTTGAGGTAAGTACGAAAGTTTACTGCATCTTGCCTGGCCTAGCCCCTCTCCTTCCCTGGCACACCGTAATGCAATTGGGAGGAAACTCTTAAATCCTGGCTTCTCCCTGGGGAGGGAGAGAGAAGAGTGGAACATACATCCAACATTCTGGTCTTTTGTGGGGCTGCCTGAGAGACTGGCATCGGTCTCACCTGACTCGGAGCACTAATAAGAATGGCAGTATATTTTGGATGCCAGGTTAGGGGCAGGTGAGAACAAAGGCAAATTATACCACCAGGTATCCTGCAGTACCAACGGCAGACTCCAGCAAGAGCAAAGGCTTATGGGCTCCTGAGAAAAAACAAGGGCAAACTTCTTTAACTGGGAAATTACACACACAAGCCTAGAGAAGACATTTCCCCAGGAAAGGTATGTGAGGTCCCCAGAATCTCTAGTCAGGGTGACTGGCGGAGGTCTTCCCCTGTAAGAAGCCATCTGTGAAGACTAGGAGGTGCCTGTTTTTTTTCCAAATGCCCAAATCTCACCTAAAGATACTAAAACACACAAAGAAACAGGGAAAGATGGACCAATCAAATGAACGAAATAAATCTCCAGAAATCTACCATAAAGAAATGGAGATCTATGAATTATCTGACAAAGAATTCAAAATAATGGTTTTAAAGATGCTCAGTGAACTCAAAGAGAACACAGATAGATAACTAAATGAAATCAGGAAAATGATGCATGAACAAAATGAGAATATCAATAAAGATATTGAAACTATAAAAAAGAACCAAATGGAAATTCTGGATCTGAAGAACACAATACTGAAATGAAAAAATCACTAGAGAGGTTCAAAAGCAGACTTGGTGAATCAGAAGAAAAAATCAGCAAATG